TCGGGCGCCTCAGCCCCGCGCCCTGCCTGGGGGCCGCCTCGCGCGCTGATTCCTCCGTGCCCTCCCAGCGCGGTCTCTCCTTGTCCGCGCGCCCCGCTCCCCAGGCGTTTCTGGGATGCTGGTTGGCCGGGCACTTACGTGTTCCAAAGCGGGTGACAGCCGCCGCGCGGGTGCACTGTTCGCTCTCTCCGCCAGGATCCGCGTTCTTGTTCCCCGACAACTCGTGGGAGTGCCCGCTCCAGCGTGGTTTCTCCTTCTCCGGGAACGGCGCCAGTGAGCAGAAGAGCTGGGACTGGATTGCATGGCCCTGTCTCCCAGCCATGGTTGACTAATGTAGGGACACCCATGGCTCTGGATTCCTGCAGCCAGCCAGATGCCTGCCTTTGGATTTTTGATCTGGATGAGCGTCCTGTAGCTGGAGGTTGTGGTTGAGAGGGGAGTTTAGTCACACAATGGCAGTGCCTAGAGAGATCTGCCAGGAGGTTCTGCTGCTGTGGCCCTGGAGGGCCTGGGTGATGCTGTGCTCAGAGGCCCCTGAGGGTGATGTGAGATGGGGAGGGGACCGAGGGAGGTAGGTAGTCAGTGACTGCTGAAACAAGAGGAATGTTAGCATTTCTGGGTTAGATGGTTGCTTCGGATGGCACTGAGACAGGCAGATCCCCAAATTACTGATCTAGATAAAATGGTCTCGGTCAGAACGATTTTGTTACTCTTCTGAACGAAGCTCTCATTGCCTGTGGCCAAACGCTGAGATGAAAATGCAGTTCAGAACCGATTTTGTGGATTTCCGAGGTCGAATATCGGTTTAGCTCACAGCTCAAGTAGATTTCTTTGATGAACATCAAAGTGGCAGATTGTGTTTCCAAAGATGACTGCAACAATCCCCCACAAACAACAGGATCTTTTGCAATGTCCCCTTGCCAGTCAAAAAAGGGAGAGTCTACTTCTCCTTCCTTTGAACCTGGGCTGTCCCTGCCACCACCTTGATAGTAGAATGAGGCAGAGGTGACATTCCAGGGCAGCCAAGACCAAGCATTAAGGAGACTCTAGCAGCTCCTGTTTTTGTGTTCTGGTGGAAGCCCATTGCCATGTAAGAAGTCTCCCTACCGCTGAGGCAGAAGAATAGGGTCTGGAGGCAGGGAACTTAAGGCCAATTCATGCCGACTTCCTAAAGCTGAATCAAGGGAAAACACCAAGGTCTAGGGGCAGGACTCTCAGGCCAACTCCCGATAATCCCCCAAAGCTGGACCAAAAGGGGAGCACCTGTGTCTGGACAGGGAACCGAAGGCCAATTAATGCCAACTTCCTAAAGCTAAATCAAAAGAGAAAACCCCAGCTTCCCACGCCCAGTAACAGAGGATTAAAGGCCACTCTCCCTGCAGCCCTCCCACTTCCACCACGGCTCAGATGGAAAGGGAGAGTGCCCTGGATTGGCCTGGGCCGAACAGGACCATCCCTTCATCTGCACAGGGCGCCAATTCACCCCAACCTTTAATTAGCCACGGACCAAATCCTTCATCCAGATAAGGGGTAACCTATAGGAATCTCAAAAGGAGGGCTTAAAACCCAGAAAACGTTGTTACTGGACCCTTAAGCTGTGTGCTTGGGCCCACTCCCACCCTGTGGAGTGCTTTCTTGCTTTAATAAATCTCTGCTTTCATTGCTTCCTTCCTGTGTTTCATTCCTTTGTTACTTTGTGTGTTTTGTTCAATGCAGTGTCTTACTCTGTTGCCCAGGCTGTAGTGCAGGGGTGTGATCACGGCTTACTGCAGCCTCAACTTCCTGGGCTCCAGTGATCCTCCCACCCCAGCCTCCCGATTAGCTGGAACTATGGGTGTACACCACCACCCCTGGCTATTTTTTTTGTGTGTGTGTGGTTTATTTATTTATTTTTTTTGGTGGTGGTGGGGGGGGTGTCTCACTATGTTGCCCAGGCTGCTCTCAAACACCTGCCTCAAGTGATCCTCCCACCTTGGCCTCCCAAAGTTTTAGGATTACGGGTGTTTGCCACCAAGCCTGGCTGGCCACATGATTTGATTTGGGCGACAGACTATGAGCAGATGTGTTGTATAGCTGCCCAAGTGGCCCCTGCTCTTTGGCCTGTGTCCTAGAATGAGAGACGTATGGAGCCACCACAGCCGATTGTCAGACCAGTGGGCAAGAAATGTTTATTGTTGTAAGCAACTAAGAGTGAGATCTGAGGGTTGTTACTGCTATAAAAACTGCCTAAGAAGCCTGGCCAACCAAGTATCATCTCAATTCTTCCTACGGTGAGATCTTTGCCATTTCCTAATGTGCTTCCCTTGCAGCTGAAACCTCAAAATCCTTCCTGTGTTCCACTGTTTGTCAAGTGGTAGATTCTAACTCAAAATAAACTGAAAGGTGTTAGGCATCAGAATAGAAAAGAGTTACATTGTAGAATTGCAATTTATAGAAATGTGTTCATTATATTGCCTAAAGTCTGGGGAAATTTTTACAGGTCAGGCTTTTAAGAATTCCTGGAGCCCAGGAAGTTGAGGCTGCAGTAAGCTGTGATCATGTCCCTGCGCTCCAGCCTGGGCGACTGACAGAGTGAGACATCGCATTGAACAAAACACACAAAGTAACAAAGGAATGAAACACAGGAAGGAAGCAATGAAAGCAGAGATTTATTAAAGCAAGAAAGCACTCCACAGGGTGCGAGTGGGCCCAAGCACACAGCTTAAGGGCCCAGTAACAACGTTTTCTGGGTTTTACACAGAAACACTTGGCACCATCTTCACAACTTTTCTGTAAATCTTAAACTATTCTAACATTAAACAAAGTTTATTAAGAGAAAAAAAACCCAGGCTTTAGATTTTGGAGCCTATACTTTTAACCACTGTGCTATACTCTATCTCTAGACCCCTGGTCCAAGGGAAGCTCTGAGGAGTTGACAAACGCTCATTTCCTAGTTCCCCAGGATGGTCCTCATTCCTGCCCATGACAAAAACTGATTGTTTAGACTTCGCTTTGTATATCTGACATTCTGTAGTGTTTATTCAGTGCATCTCCCTTGTTATTTTAATTAGACAAAAATCTCTGTATTACTTACGACCTAAACACATCAGCAGGGGCAGCAGCATCAATTACAGCCAACACTTATCACACACACTGTAAACGGGTCCTGTTCTAAATATTTTACACATATTCATTCATTGGATCCTCCTGAGAACCCTGTTAGTGATAGGGACAGGAGGCAGAGAAATTCTAGGCAGAAAAGGGCAGAGTCCCTGGAGAAGCCCCACCCTCAAGCTTGGAACCATGGCCCAAAGTGAGAACATGCATTCCTGTTTTCCTACTCAAATATTGCCTTTTCCAAAACCACACATGGCCTGCCCCACCCCCAATCCTGTACCCATTAAAAACCCATTACCCGACTGGCAGAGAGGAGAGAAGCGGAGAAGAAGAGAAGCAGCTGGACATCGGAGACTGCGGTCTGACGTCACAGACAAGCAGCTTGACTTCAGAGGGATGGTTTGACGGTGTTGCTTAAGAGAGGAGTCTGGCCAGGGATGACCAGACTCCAGCGCTCCAGGGGAAGATCACCTTCCTGCTCCAGCCCTCTTCCAACTCTCCTTCCTGTCAAGAGCCACTTCCATCAGCAATAAAATCCTCTACATTCACCACCCTTCAATTTTTTCATGCAAACTGATTTTTCCTAGACACTGAACAAGAGCTTGGGTACCATGGGTGTGGACACTAAAAGCTGCCACATTGACCCTCTGCCCTCGCTGGCAAAGAGCAACTGCCTCCCACAAAAAGGCAGAGAGCCCACTGAGCTGTTTAACACTTAAACCATCCACGGACAGCAGAGTTAAAAGAGCACTGTAACATATGCCTTCTGCGACTTTGGGGATCATGACTACTCCTCCCTAGATGCTGCCTTGGGGCCTACATGGAGTTTTTCTCCTGGTGGCACCCAAAAGTGCTCACTCTGGCTCCTACACCCCCTCACCCTCATGCTCCCCCTCCCATGAGGGGTTGAGAGCTGCAGGCTGAATAAGTGAGGCATCCCTGTCACGAGGCCTGTGAAGGGGTCAAGGAAAATTTCCTGTTTCATTAGGTAGGTGTTAATATCTTCCCATTTTATAGGTGAAGCAACTCATGCACGAATAAATTAACTTGCCCAAGGTTACATATCTGGTAAATGGCAAACCCAGGAGGTCTGGCTCTGGAGTCTGATTCTCTTGCCCACTTGCTGCACTGCCCTCTCTAAGGAATTTTAATAGATGGTCTTAGACCTGGATTGGATGCTTCCTTTCCTTATGTTTCAAAACAGTGTGCTCCCCTCCTGAGCTTTTCCAGGGAGCATGAGGCTCTGATCTCTGAATGTTATGGTCATCTTCCAACTACCTGGGGACTGGTACTTTGAGAGCACACAGAGATACAGCTTTTGGAATTCTCCATGCTGCATGTAGGTTTGTAAACCAATACCCTGCTCAGATACCGCATTCTTCTAACACCCTAATGATGGGGTCACATTTCCCTCTCTAGGTACGACAATCTGGTTTTGAAGTTGCCGGAAGAAACTTGAATGGCTTCCTCTTTCATTCCCACAAGGCTCTGAAAACACTTCTGCTGATCTGCCATCTTCACTCCTACCTCACCTTGGCATAACTGCACTCTACTCAAACTCTATCTGGAAGGAGCAGAGCTCAGGGCTTCTGACCCCACAGAATGGGCTCCAGGCACTAAGAGGTGAACAACACAGAACACCTGTTCCATGTCAAGTTGGTTATCATTTTATACTTTTCTAAAAACCTCAAGGAAAATCTTCAACATAAGCCCTGGCATAAGACATTTTCTATGTATTCAAAATAAGAAAAGGGAATGGTGAATATATTGACAAGTAGCAATTTGAATTATAATGACAATTCTGTAGGATTTTATGTAGCTTGCACATTTAACATTTAAGTATATTGTTCTTGGAATTGTATGATAAAACTAGAAAATAAAGAGAAATTATGATGACTATGTATTCACTCTTCAGACTTTCATCTATGAATCAGCTCACTGAGAGTGATACTTGAAAACTTCGCTTGTTTTCTTCTAATCCAGTTTTGGAATGTCTTCCACGGATGGATGCCATGCAGTTGAAACATAAATGCCATAAAAATTAATCCCCCTAGCACTACTGCTGTTGCCACGGCAATAAGCGTGTGTCCTGGGAATGGCAGTGGTGCCTCATCAACATAAATCTGCAACAGAAAAAGCAAAGTCTTTAAGCTTTCTGAATTTAGCAAAACACTGAAAATTTTATGGTCCCCACAATTACTCAGAGAGCAAAACGCTGCCCAGAGTTACAAAGACATTCAGCATCCACAAAGCTTGGAAACAGTCTCTTGACAATTCAACAAGTAACAATTTGCCTACAATAAATAGGGGCTAAGAAGTACATGTATTATCCTATGCCTTTACCCTATCTTTAACGGTGGAAGGAGGCAGATAAAATGCTTACACAGCAGAACATTCTCTGTTCAGTCACAGAGGAATGGGCAAAGAGCTCTGGGAACGTGGAGGAGGGAATGCCTACCTGCCTAGGGCAGTCAGGGAATGCGCTTTCTGAGCTGGATCATGATGAATAAGTGGGTTCACAGAAGAGAAGGAGATAAAGGAACATTCCAGGTAGAGGCCTATGTCTGTGCTCTTTCAAGCTACCACCTCTTTAGAAAATCCTCTTTGTAGGTGCTGCCGGTATAGGAAACTTTTTATGTATTCAAAATGTTTCCTCTGCATGAATAGCTAATTAACAGAAGCAAGTAAATTTCTGGAGGAGAGATAGGATGATTGACAGAGAGGGACAGTGATGTCTTTTTCTCTGAGATGTGAGGCAAGGGTGGGGTCATTGTATGTTAAATATAGAAGTGGAGCATAAAGAGAGTAGGGGGTTCAAGCCCAGGCTTATGTTTCCCTTGTTAAGCAGGAAGGCAGATCATCTTTTGTGGGAGAAGAACATGCTGATGAGTGGAACTAGGACAGTAGGGAATGTGGGAAAGTGCAAAGGACAAGAAAAAGGATGACGGGCTGCTTTAAGGCCTAACTCAAGTTAAAGGTACGGCCATCCTCCCAGTGACCCAAGGAGGTAGCTGGTTTCTTAGAAACAGTCTCTCCATGCTACAAATTCTCTGAAATTCCCCTCACATTCATTCTTTCCATTCTTTCAGTACTGCTACTGTGATTATTGTGCCACTTTTCATAAATAGGCTATTCTAGTAGCCTCCTTCCCAGGCCACCAGTCCATGTTGACATCCTAACATTGCCAGATTTATCTTTGTATAAAACACCAGTCTGTGTATAAACACCTTTTTCCAAAAAATGTTTAATAGCTTTTCATTGTTGACAGGAATGTTGACAGGAATGCTCTAAAGCTTTCACTCTGACATTCAAAGCTTTCCATGACTGGACCCTAAGCTACCTGGTTTTCTTCTAAATAACCTTATATCCCAGCCAAATGGATTTGAGCTATTCAAAAAGCAAACTTTATGCTTTTGACAGTGATAGGAGGCAGTCAAATGCCTAGGCAGATAGGGCGGGTCCCTGGTGAAACCTGACCTTCAAGCTGAAGACAGTCCCAGGTAAATCCACATACCGAATTCAGAACCTGTGTTCCTGTTTGGCATGCTTTCCTCTGACTGATCCCACCCTTCACCTGTTTTACATATACCTATCCTTCCTAATTGGTTTTCTACACTGCTGTGCCCACCTTTGAGTGGTGACTTCGCTTTAGCCTTTCTTTGCATACTCATAAACCAATCAGCACGCTCTCCCCTATTCTGAGCCCATAAAGGCCCCAGACTCAGCCACACTGGCAAAGAAACCACCTGACTGCAGGGGTGAGGGACCACCCCCTATGTCCCCTCTCTGCTGAGAGCTGTTCCATCACTCAATAAAATTATTCTCTGCCCTCCTCACTCTTCAATTGTCAGTGTATCCTCATTATACTTGGATGCAGGACAAGAACATGGGTACAAGCTACAACACAGGTGGGACAAGTGGGCAGGGTGCCTCCGGCAGCAGGCTCAGGGCTGAGCAAGGGCCAGGTGGAGGGTGTCACCAGCTGTGGAGGTCCCTGGTTGGTAAAGTGGCCAAGAAAAATCCTGAATCACTTTCCCATCTCTGTACCTGGTCTCTCCATACAGAATGCCTTCCTTATCCATTTCTACCTAATGAAATTTCAGTCACTCCACCAGATGATGTAAAAATTTCACTTGTGGCTGGGTGCGGTGGCTCATGTTTGTAATCCCAGCACTTTGGGAGGCTGAGGCAGGCAGATCATGAGGTCAGGAGATCAAGACCATCCTGGCTAACATGGTGAAACCCCGTCTCTACTAAAAATACAAAAAAATTAGCCAGGCATGGTGGTGGGTGCCTATAGTCCCAGCTACTCGGGAGGCTGAGGCAGGAGAATGGCGTGAACCCACGAGGTGGAGCTTGCAGTGAGCCGAGATCGCGCCACTGCACTCCAGCCTGGGCGACAGAGTGAGACTCTGTCTCAAAAAAAAATAAAAATAAAAAAAATTTCACTTGCTTATTTAAGCCATTTATTATGTGTCTAAGATGAGAAACGTTTATCACCTCTGAATTCTGTATTCTCCATCTAAATTGCTACCTCTAAAGTTCTGAAATATACTTTTTCTTCAAATGTTTCCCTTCTAATCTTCTTCAACCATCCAAATATTCCACACCATTTCTAAAAAAGGTTAAACCTCAGAATTATGAGTCTGTTTTAGATACAATGTCTATTTACTCCTAAAGTAACTTGTATTTTTAAGCACAAAAATTCACTTAAATAACCAGAGTACAATGATCAAAGTCAAGAAATTAACATTAAGACAATACTATAATGTAATTGCAGATCTTACTCCTTTTTTTTTCTTTTTTTCCAGTTACCCCCATAATGTATTTTGGGTGAAAGAAAATCCAAGCTTATGGGTTGCATTTCATTGTTTCAGGATTCTCCTTTCTCCTCCCCTTTCTTTCCTTGATGGAGCTTTGCTATGTTACCAACCTGGAGTGCAGTGGTTATTCACTGACACATTCATACTGGACTGAGGCCTCAAACCCCTGGCCTCAGAGGATCCTCCCTTGGCCTCCCAAATAGCTGGGGTTGCAGTCATGTGTCACCAGGTCTGGCTATTTCAGGGTACTTTCTTTTTTCTTTTTCTTTTTTTTTTTTTTTTGAGACAGAGTCTCACTTCTGTCACCCAGGCTGGATGAAGTGCAGTGGTGCGATCTTGGCTCACTGCAATCTCTGTCTCCTGGGTTCAAGCCATTCTCTTGCCTCAGCCTCCCGAGCAACTGGGATTACAGGCATGCACTACCACACCTGGCTAATTTTTGTATTTTTAGTAGAGATGGGGTTTCACCATGTTGTCCAGGCTGGTCTTGAACTCCTGAGCTCAAGTGATCCACCTGCGTCGACCTCCCAAAGTGTTGGGATTACAGGCGTGAGCTACCACACCGAGCCTATTTCAGGGTACTTTCAAAAGCAGGTTCCAACAGTCCCAAGAACCTTTATATACTTTCTCTATATTTTCTTAACAATTCTTTTCCTTTATTAATGGTGCAGTCACTGCCTATCTTTCTTTTATCCATTTTTGTTCTTCCTCCATTCCTGAAGCTTCAAGTTTCCTGCTGTTATCACTTTTCTTCTGCTTGAAGAACTTCTTTAAGCATTTTCAAAAGAGAAGTTCTCCTGACAATGGATTCTCTTAGTTTTCTTTCATTTGAGAAAGTCTTGATTGTTTATTCCTGAAGGATATGTTCAGTAGGTAGAGAATTCTGGATTGACAATCCTTCCTTCCCACCCAACCCTCACCCCCAACACTTTAAAGATGTTGTATAACTTTCTTTTGCCTCTGTGGTTTCTGTTGAGAAATCAGCAGTCAGTCAAACTGTACCCTTGTATACAGTGTGATTTTTCTCTGACCACTTTCAATATTTTATCATCTTGATTTTTGGTAGTTGATTATGATGTGTTTGGGCATGGTTTTCTCTATCTTTAGCTTGTTTAGGGCTCATTAAGCTTCTTGAATATGCAAATTTGTGTCTTCACCAAACTTGAGGCTTTTCAGTCTTTATTTCTTTCCTTTCTTCTTCTTTTTTTTGAGACAGGGTCTCATTCTGTCACCCAGACTGGAGTGCAGTGGCATGATCTCAGCTTACTGCAGCCTTGACCTCCCAGGCTGAAGCAACCCTCCCACTTTGGCCTCTAGAGTAGCTGGAACTACAGGTGTGTGCCTCCACGCCTGGCTAATTTTTTTGTATTTGTAGACAGGGCCTTGCCATGTTGCTCAGTTGGTCTTAAATTCCTGAGCTCAAGCGATCCACCCACCTTGGCCTCCCAAAGTGCTGCGATTTTTTCCCCCATACCAATCTCTTTCTCCTCTTCTTCATGGACTCTGATGACATAAATGTTAGACCTCCTGGTACTGTCACACAGATCCCTGAGGCAAGATCTTCTTCTTCTTAAAATACTTTTTCTTCAGGTTGGGTTTCCACTGACCTGCTTTCAAGTTCACTGATTTTTATCTTGTTCCATATCCATTCAGCAATTGATTCCTTTTGATAGTTTTAAAATTTAGATACTATAGTTTTTAGTTCTAAAATTTCCATTTTGTCCTTTTTAAGTAGCTTCTAGATCTCTGCTGATAATCTATCACTTTCTACTTATTTCAAAAGTGTTTACCTGTACCATATTGGAGCATGGTTATAATAGCTAGTTTAGAATATTTGATAATTGCATTTGTGGTCCTTTGTTGATGCCTTTTCAGAATTGATTATATTGTCTTGGTTCTTGACATGGTGAATAATATCAGATTGTATCCTGGTGAATAATGGTGAGTAACATCAGATTGTATCCTGGTAAATATGGTGAATAGCATTAGATTGTATCCTGGATATTTTTGATGTTATGTTGGGAGACTCTGGTTCTTGTTTAAAAGTTATCTGGAAAATGCTGATTATCTATTGTTCGTTTTTAGCAGTCAATCACACTGTTTGAGTGCAGATCACAAGTTATGCCTCACCTTCTGTGGGTGGTGGTTTCAGTGTCAGTTCAGTTTTCCAAGCTGTTGCTATGCTATTTGTGTCTTCCTGCTTGGTACCTGTGCCACTCAGGAGCTGCTCAGAAACTAGAGGATGTTTACTTTGTAGTTTTATTTCAAAGCCTTTGCTATTTTCTTTAGGTGTGCCCTGCTCATATGCAGCTTCTTCCTGGTGCTAGTTTCTATAAAGAATCAGGACTCCCTTTCTCCAGCCCTCTTCTCATAGAGATGTCCCCCCATGCTTTCCACTCTTAGAGGTCCTTTTCCTCGTTCTCTGGAAAGAAAGCTGAGCTTCTACGAGAATTTTAGCCCTCTGTGCTATTGTGCTGTTCCCCACAATCAGGGCTGCTCTTGAGCCAAAGAGATGAGAAAAGAGAGAAAAAAATAACAGGGATTTTCCTTCACACTCCTTATGTGACAGATGCTTCTTTTCCTAGTTTCTTTACCTAGTGGGTTGAATTTTTCTCTCAGGGTTTTAGAGGTTTACACCGCTGCAATGGCCACCCACCACTGTAGTAGTGCAGAGCCATTATTGGGGTTGACCTTAGAGCTGGGTCAGGAGAGAGAGAGAGAGAGAGAGAGAGACAAAGAGAGAGAGAGAATGTTAATGTAACATCAGCATTTGACAATGACTCATTAATTGATTTTTATCAAATCCTTATTCCTTCCCATGCCTCACAGGCAACAGATGTCATTATGTGAATAAGCAAAAATGAGTTGTCGCTTTCATGGGATGACTTGGGAAAGACTGATTCTAGTTTCCAACTTCTTTGGATCTTGAAAGCCTTTGAAATATTTAAGACAATGATTACAGTTCAGACAGCCATAAGGAGGATAATCAGACTAGAAACTAAAAGTTACAGAAATATGTTCTTTGGAGTAGGGGTGAGAGGAAGAGCATTAAAAGTCAGAAAACTGGGCTCAACAAGGAAGGTGGAGAAGGAACAAAAACAAAAACAGTCACGTATTATTATATGTATTATTAAAATTCTGCCAGCATCAATCAGTCCTGGCACCCATCACGCACCCTGGCTTCATCACTACTGACAGTGTCACTGCTACCCTTCAGAATCCCCTGTCTTTAAGCCTCGTCCATCACAACAATTCTGCCAATTTTTTCTCTTCAATGTCTCTTGAATTGGTTTTGTCACGTTTTATCCCCAGTCATCACCCCTTCATTTTACCTGAAATTCTTCAATTAAGTTACAAAAAGTGACTCCTGAAATGACGGTCACTCTAAAGTGGAAAAGTTCAGAGCCCTGTGGAAAAAAGCACACCCAGTTGTTAGCAGCATCAACATGTACATTCCTTTAAATATTAATAAAAATATACCCTGGGGCCACTGTTCCTATAGATGCTGCATGAAAAGATTCCCATCCTCTTCCGAAGGCTCTCGGACATACACATCATGTATCAAAAAAAAAAAAAAAAAAAAAAAAGATGGATTGAAGTGGAGGGATTCAATAGTTGATACTGTTTTTTTTGTTTTTGTTTTTGTTTTTGTTTTTGTTTTTTTTAGAATGAGGAGATTAAAACTAAATCTGGCCTTGATAAATACTTTGGACTAATATCGTATGTGTGGTTTCAGTATGTTCCCTAATTCTGACTGGTTTTCACAATTATCTGTATTATACCAACTTCATGTATTTTTATGGGCAGCTGGAACCAGAAGACACGTTCCCCGTGCATATCCAGGTGAATAATACTGAGCGCATTTCTTCCCTCTCACCTTCGGAAACACTCTTTCTTCTCCACTTTGCTAAATAATATGTCTTACCTATCTGCTCAAAACTTTGGAAATAATAACACCAGGGGAAATGGAGAAAAAATAAACCCTCTTCATATACTTTAAAGGTATATACTTTAAAGGTGTTATTCCCACCATTCCTGGTTACCTATACTTTCTAATTAAAACCAATCTTAGTTTAGACATACATGTTTTATCTAAACTCAACATAGTAAAAACAACAACGCCATCATTACCTTTATGCTTAAGTTGAGACCTGAAGGATTATACACTGCAGCACCAACAATTGGTTCTACAAATTTTTTCATTTTTTTAATCTTTTCTGGCACAGTGTGTTCTAAAAATACATAAAACATATTTTAAGCACACTTATTTTCTCATTTTGTATTAGGTTGGTGCAAAAGTAATTGCTGTTTTTGCCATTACTTTTAATTTACTATTACTATTTCATTTGCAATTACTAATATAAAATTTGTTAGGCACATTAAGGTGCAATGAAAGTTTTCACTCCATAACATGACCAAGTTATCCCATACTTTTAGTTCTGCTTGACTTTGTAGACGATGTATTTAGGGGAGCGAGGCCCAATATCTCACATTGCCTTTGAGGGCATCCTCAATAAGTTCAAGACTTCTGATCACCTTCATGCTGACCTTTTCCTTCCAGCCCCATGCTCAGGATCAGTCCTGACCTGCACGTGCTTCGTGTTTTTGGCAGTAAGGTCATCTCAGGACCTCCTTACTGGTAGGTAAACGATTTATAATAAGGTGGCAGTAAAGTTTTACAATGGGATTACTTGACGATTTTCCTGCCTTTCTTGTCATCCTTTCTAAAACTAGACAGGTAGTGTAGGGGTTAGACGTTGCAGGGGTATAAAGGTACACAGAATCTAAAGGAAAAGAAACAGCTGTGATTGTAATTTCCAATTTCCATAGTGTAAATATTCTCACCCTGGCTAATTTCGAGCTACCAATGGTTTAACATCCAGCTTGTAAAATGTTTTAATATTTAATGATCAGGACTCCAAAACTGGTAAGAACAGTTTCCAGCACACCACAGAAAATGGGGATGTCAGTTAATGCAAAATATTTAGTAACTTTATTTTGCTGGATTTTTCATTTCAAAAATGCATTATGTTGGCCAGAGTAAGACTCACTGAATACCAAATGCCCAAATATTTAGTAACATATTAATGGCTGACCAAAATTTGTTTAGTTAATTATTTCTACCTACCTACCTATCTCGTTAGAGTATTAAAACGTGAACACAAAATGTGCAACAAAAAGTTACATATTTGAGGTAAAGTGAATAGGGATAAACATCTTATTTAAAATATATCTGCATCTTTTCAATTATTTTACCATAAAACCTTTAAGAATTAGAAGATAGAGCCTAAAGATTATCTGGCCATACCTTTTACAACCCCCTCTGTCACACTGAATCAGCAGGGAAAGGAGACACCAGACCAGCATGCAGTACAAATTTAATCAGTCCCTGTTGCTTTTTTTTTTTTTTTGAGACAGAGTCTTGCTCTGTCGCCCAGGCTGGAGTGCAGTGGTACGTTCTCAGCTCACTGGAAGCTCCGCCTCCTGGGTTCACACCATTCTCCTGCCTCAGCCTCCCGAGTAGCTGGGACTACAGGTACCCACCACCACACCTGGCTAATTTTTTGTATTTTTAGTAGAGTCGGGGTTTCACCGTGTTAGCCAGGATGGTCTCGATCTCCTGACCTCGTGATCTGCCTGCCTCGGCCTCCCAAAGTGCTGGGATTACAGGCGTGAGCCACTGCGCCCGGCCCCACTGTTGCTATTAATCCACAAAATGACTTTCCTTTTTTTTTGCAGTATAAATTATTCAAAAATGCTTTTACCATAGAATCCAGGCCTCTAGAAGTGATGATGAAATCAGTGGGAAACAGAAGTAAACAGCAATATGCCAACTGATCCAAATCCATTTGCAAGAACTCCTGGCTCTCTTTTGTGTGAACAAGCTTTGAAAACCATTGATCTTTGTAAACCAGTAACAATATTACTTATAAGATAAAATAATTACAGATGAAAGCAAACCCTACTCAGTTTCCAGTTTTGCCTCATGTTCACTTCAGTCACAGTAACCAGATATGGAGATTCCAATGGGACACGTCCATCCTCGTTGATAATTTCCAAAGAAACTGGATATTGTGTAATTGGAAACTTAAAGCGAGGAACCTAAAATACAAATTCCAAGAATGAATGTAAACTTGGAAAAGTCAATAGTCACTTCATTTCTTGGTAAAAAACGAAAAGATACATTGCCAATAGTTTGGCTGTTCAATGAAATGTGCTTGTGAGGGGTTTCTGCCTTTTCAGTCATGAAAATATCTTAGAGCAGAATCAATGTGAACTCCAAAGGCAGTCTATACATTGTGGTAACAAAACTCATCACTTCTATAGGCCCCTTTCACAGGAATTTACTATGATGTCATTCAAACTTTTTTTTGGCTAAATCATATCCCAGAAAGCCATGCATAGATCACTCACCCTCCTTTTGCCACTTTTCCAGCCAGTCAGTCTTTCAGGCACAATCTGTAAACTTGGCTCTCGCATCAGAGCTTAAATCCAGCCCCAAAGCATGTTAATAATGTGATCTTTGGCAAATTGCCTGACTTTCTGTGGCTCGAATTAAATGAGACAAATCTCAGAGAAGGCTTAGAGTAGCATTTAGTAGATAGTAAGTGCTCACAAAACATTATTTTAGTTCAGCAAGGGGGTATATAAAAACAGCCCTCATCCAGCTACTCGGGAGGCTGAGGCAGGAGAACGGCGTAAACCCGGGAGGCGGAGCTTGCAGTGAGCTGAGATCCGGCCACTGCACTCCAGCCTGGGCGACAGAGGGAGACTCCGTCTCAAAAAAAAACACAAAAACAGCCCTCATCATTTACAGAATGCTGGCCAGACACAATGGCTCACACTTGTAATCCCAACACTTTGGGAGGCCGAGGCAGGCGGATCACTTGAGGTCAGGAGTTTGAGAACAGTCTGGCCAACATGGTGAAACCCCATCTCTACTAAAAAATACAAAAATTAGCTGGGCATAGTGGTGGGCGCCTGTAGTCCCAGCTACTTGAGAGGCTGAGGCAGGAGAATCACTTAAACCTGGGAGGCGGAGGTTGCAGTGAGCTGAGATCGCGCCATTGCACTCTGGCCTGGGCGACAGAGCGAGACTCGGTCTCAAAAAAAGTAAAAACAAAAATAAAATAATGATAATTTACAGAATGCTGACTCTATGCCAACATATTGTGTGTGTGTATATATATATAAAATATGTATCATATATAGTCTCTAGATGTCTTATATGTAATTTTACAAATATGTAGTCTGTGTAATAACAGTTTCTCAATATACAGTCTTACAAGGCCTTTGAAATTGATCTGTTTGAAAGATATACCAACTGCATATTTGTTTTTTTCTTTTTTTAAAAAATGGAATCTTGCTCTGTCACCCAGGGTGGAGTGCAGTGGTGCAATCTCTGCTTACTGCAACCTCTGCCTCCCAGGTTCAAGCAATTCTCCTGTCTTAGCCTCCTGAGTAGCTGGTACTACAGGTGCACGCCACCATGCCCGGCTAATTTTTGTATTTTTAGTAGAGATTGGGTTTCACCATATTGGTCAGACTGGTTTCGAACTCCTGACCTCAGGTGATCCACCTGCCTCGGCCTCCCAAAGTGCTGGGATTACAGGTGTGAGCCACTGCACCTGGCCCCAACTGTGTATTTTACTCTTCTAATGAAAACTTTGATACTAACAGAATAAAATATTATTTGACACAGAAGCCTTCTCTTAACCAACATATTATACCGTCTTTCATTTGTGACTGTCAGCAGGCTGAGCTTGATTACAATGACTTTGCCTTCTGTGTTCCAAGAACCTGATACAAGATACTCAAAGTTGTTTTAAATGAATCAATATTTACTATAACCTGGTATAGTGTTTTACAGACTACAAGCTGCTTTCGTATACATAGGGGTGTGTTTGGGTGTGGGCGAGTGTGTGTCTTTATACGAATGCTGTGGAATGGACAAGGTAGTGCAGGTATTACTGTTTTATTTTACCAATGAGGTTCATTAACTTGCAAGGGACATTTAAGTCTGGATCTTTCTAGCTCAGTGTCATATTTAGCTCTGCATCATAATAAGACATTATTTATATGTCTTAGTTTTCATGTTTAACCCAAAGGCACATTTCAAAATCTTGTTGATAAGAAAGTATCCTATCTTCAGGTAATTAAAAATGATCTTACTTTTTCCCTGCAATCTGAGAAAGCAACAGCATGTGAAAACTTCTGATCCTTTGTGCAGTTACACTCCTCCCGAGTGGAAACATTAGCACACTGTTTGAATTTACCAGTTTTCTGCAAATAGAAGTAACAGATGTTGACTTGTTTTTCTGTGTTGCAGGATTTCTGCAAACTGATAAATATCTAACAAATATTTATTCCCTGAGTAAGCGAAATTCCTGAGAAGTTAAAAGGGGAACGCAATTCATTAATAATAAAGTAAGAATAGAAGTACAGTGTTTCTGAATTTTAATTGCCCCCTTGTGTGGTAATTTGAACCTGAGTATTACTCAGCCACTTACCGGTTTACCTCGTGCAGTTGCATGGGACCTAGAAAGGCTGTGTCATTCTGAATTCTGCATCCCAGGACTACCAAACTAACTACTCTTGGCCCCTGCCATTGCAGGGATCCAGACGGAGACCTAAAATGAGTGGCCTTGATGACGTGGGGCTGCACACTCTCCAAACCTACTATTTCATACTTGTCTTTCTTCATAACATACGTTGATATTTTAAATCTCCACTCTATCTGCCCATTTGTCATTCATTTATACTTGATCTCTCTTGCCATTAATTTATTTTATTATTCTTATTCTTATTCTTATTCTTATTATTTTTAGAGATAGTGTCTTGCTCTGTTGCCCAGGCTTTACTGCAGGGGCTCAATCATAGCTCACTGCAGTCTTGAACTCCTGGACTCAAGCAATCCTCCCATCTCATCGTCCGTAGTATTATAGTTGGGACTACAGGCACACACCACCACACTTGGCTGATTGAAACAAAATTTTTTTGGTAGAGAGTCTATCCTGACTATGTGATAAAAAAGAAAAACCCATTTTCTGTGGAGAAATTCAAGCCAGTTGCAGAAATTTTCAAGTAGTAAGGAGCCTACTGTTAATCCTCAAGACTTTGGGGAAAATGTTTCCAGACCATGTCAGAGACCTTCATGGCAGCCCCTTCCATCACAGGCCCAGAGGCCCAGGAGGAAAAAGTGGTTTTGTGGGCCAGGCGCAGGGTCCCCATGCTGTGTGTAGCCTAGGCACTTGGTGCCCTGTGTCCCAGCTTCTCCAGCTATGGCAGAAAGGGGCCAATGCACAGCTCAGGCTGTGGCTTCAGAGGGTGGAAGCCCCAAGCCTTGGCAGCTTACACATGGTATTGAGGCTGTGTGGGTGCACAGAAGTCAAGAATTGAGGTTTGGGAACCTCTGCCTCAATTTCAGATGTATGGAAACGCCTGGATGCCCAGGCAAATGTTTTCTGCAGGGGTGGGGCCCTCATGGAGAACCTCTACTAGGGCAGTGCAGAAGGGAAATGTGGGGTGGGAGCCCCCACACAGAGTCCCTACTGGGGTACTGCCTAGTGGAGCTGTGAGAAGAGGGACAACGTCCTCCAGACCCCGGAATGGTAAATCCACTGACACCTTTCACCGTGTGCCTGGAAAAGCCGCAGACACTCAACATCAGCCCATGAAAGCAGCCAGGAGGGAGGCTGTACCCTGCAAAGCCACAGGGGTGGAGCTGCCCAAGACCATGAGAACCAACCTCTTGCATCAACATGACCTGGAGTCAAAGGAGATCATTTTAGATCTTTAAAATTTGACTGCCCTGCTGGATTTTGGACTTGCATGGGTCCTATAACCCCTTGGTTTTGGCAAATTTCTCCCATTTGGAATGGCTGTATTTACTCAATATGTGTAACCCCATTGTATCTAGGAAGTAACTAGTTTGTTTTAATTTTACAGGCTCATATGTGGAAGGGACTTGCCTTGTCTCACGTGAGACTTTGTAATGTGGACTTTTGGGTTAATGCTGAAATGAGTTAAGACTTTAGGGGACTGTTGGGAAGGGATGATTGGTTTTGAAATGTGAGGACATGAGATTTGGAGGCGTCAGGGGCAGAGTGATATGGTTGGCTGTGTTCCCACCCAAATCTCAACTTGAATTGCATCTCCCAGAATTCCCATGTGTTGTGGGAGGGACCCAGGGGGATATCATTGAATCACGGGGCCTGGTCTTTCCCATGCTATTCTCATGATAGTGAATAACTCTTACAAGATCTGATGGGTTTATCAGGAGTTTCCACTTTTGCTTCCTCCTCATTTTCTCTTGCTGCTGCCATGTAAGAAGTGCCTTTTAAACTCTGCCATGATTCTGCAGCCTCCCCAGCCATGTGGAACTGTAAGTCCAATTAAACCTCTTTATTCTGTAAATTGCCCAGTCTTGGGTATGTCTTTATCAGCAGCATGAAAATGAACTAATACAACGGTTAGGTCCCAAAAGCTCATTTTTAGCAGATTGTGAAGTCTCATGTCTTGTGAAGAGAAAATAGGGGGAAGGAAGGGAGAAAAAAACAACAGTAAAAAAAAAAGAACAGTCCTGGAAAAATCAATATAGGCCACATTACTCTGAAGTCCATACATTAGTAGGCAGGTATGAAAGTGGCTTATGTATGTAAATAGGTTGTAGTTATTTTCTTCTGAAGTTTAAGTTGTCTGGCTTCAGTTTGCAGGGTTTTAAGAAAGCACAGCTTAGTTTTCAGTGACTCCAAGTTAAGAAAAATGGGGGAAAAAAGAAGGAAAAAAAATTGAAAACATTATTTTGAAGACTTGAGTCAAGAAAAATTAGAATTCGGTCCAAAATATGGAAAATAATAAAAATTGAAAAAAACATTAGGCAAGACTAGGATCTAACAACAGATCTACTGTCATTTAGAAACACAATTTTTCTCTCTCCAGTTTCTCAGTTTTACTAAAGACAAATCATGGTATGACTGGTATGCTTTATTACACTTGGCCTAATTATTTATATATAGTACAGCAAGAATAATTATTTTTTACATAGGCTTTTAACTTGGCTTTGATGGAACTTTGTTCCATAGGAGGAATCAGATAAGACTTATTTATTTATTTATGTTTAATTTATTTATTTTTATTTTTATTTTTTAGTAGAGATGGGGTTTCACCGTGTTAGCCAGGATGGTCTCGATCTCCTGACCTCGTGATCCACTCGCCTCAGCCTCCCAAAGTGCTGGGATTACAGGCATGCGCCACCACACCTGGTCCAGACAAGACTTTTTTAAAGCCGAGCCCAGCCATGGATTTGTGCCATCAAATATCTATGAGTTTGGTGAATTTCCTCTCCTCTTGAGGATCCAAGATAAACCTGGGGCTTCTGTGCCTGTCAGAAAGTGACATTCTTTACTAAGGACAGGTCAGAAACTCTGTACAGGGACTGTGTACACAAACTATGAGGCCAATTTCCCAAGGGCTTTATTGGCTCCATAAGTCAAGTTTGATTCCTTAAAGAAAAGCACACCATTCCAGTCAAAGCCTTGGTAAAATAATCAGTTTCTCCACTTGTGTCCTATTGCAAAAGAAAACTGATTCTTACTGCACTTATGCAAATAACTATATTGCCATAGATTAAGAATACTCACAAATAGTTTCCAAATTCTAGAGAAATCAGGTAGAGGGAAACAATTAGGTTCCAAATTTTGTTCACAAAGTATACTTTACTCAATTGTTAAAAGCTGTAAATAGCTTAAAAGAAATGTTTTCTTAACTCTGAAAAACAAAAAAAGTATCAGCAACATTTTAAGCAAAAAGTCAAAAAGATTACTTCTGTTTTCTATTGGTTCAGTTAATTCGGTTAACTCCTATTCTGTTTGATAGTCATGAACATTTCAGCTCTCCATCAGAGTTCTGAAAGTTCCTTTATTCCAATGTCACAATTTCCAAAGTCATCAGAAAACCTGCATTTAAGTGCAACTGTTAGAGTCCTATAGCTAATTATAAATTCACCTGTTTGTTTTTTTTTTTTTTTTTTTTTTTTTGAGACGGAGTCTTACTCTGTCACCCAGGCTGGAGTACAGTGGCATGATCTCAGCTCACTGCAACCTCCACCTCCCGGTTTCACACCATTCTCCTGCCTCAGCCTCCCAAGTGGCTGGGACTACAGGCACCTGCCACCATGCCCAGCTAATTTTTTGTATTTTTAGTAGAGACAGCATTTCACCATTTTAGCCAGGATGGTCTCAATCTCCTGACCTTGTGATCTGCCCGCCTCGGCCTCCCAAAGTGCTGGGATTACAGGCATGAGCCACCACACCTGGCATATAAATCCACCTTTTAAAGAGCGTTTAAAAGAAGGCAAAACAAGACAATTGTCTATGGATGAAAAAACGTTTTAAGGCAGCCATAGTTAAAAGACACAATTGACAAGGAAATTTATTACCTCTATGGCACACAATAATTTTAACATAACAATTATGAATATTACTATAATGTACACTAAGGTATATCAGAATTACAGAAATTTCCTATAAATTTGGAACATAATTAGATATGTATACAAATACAGCCCAAAGAAAACCAAACACCATTTCATATTTGACAATGTTTCCTGTATAATTTTTATACCAAAATAAGCCAAGTTATGTCATTTTGGACTTAAGGAAACTAATGTCTTAAAGGACTAATTAGGTTAGATAAAGACATAATTTTTTTTTTTTTTTTTGAGATGGAGTCTCTCTCTGTCACCAAGGCTGGAGTGCTATGGCACCATCTCAGCTCACTGCAAGCTCCGCCTCCCAGGTTCATGCCATTCTCCTGCCTTGGCCTCCCAAGTAGCTGGGACTACAGGCGCCTGCCATCACGCCCAGCTAATTTTTTCTTGTATTTTTAGTAGAGACGGGGTTTCACTGTGTTAGCCAGGATGGTCTTGATCTCCTGACCTCGTGATCTGCCCACCTCAGCCTCCCGAAGTGCTGGGATCACAGGCATAAGCCACTGTACCCGGCCAAAAAGATATAATTTATAATTTGCTTTTGAAAAGTTTGTCAAATATAAAAGGTTTAAAATACTTGATATTACAAAATAGGATTACAGGTCATTGTAAAGTCATTTATTTAACCAAAGTGATAATTCCAGCATTCCAAAAAAAGCGAAAACCTTCATTATTTGAGTTGAGACTTAATTTTTTAAACAAGAAACCCTAATAAAAACAGCGTGAAGCCAATTACATTTGTTTTTCAAAATTTTATAAACAATCTATAAAATTTAATCTTGATTATAAAATA